ATGCAGTCACCTCCTGCCACTCTCACCTGTTCCTGTCTCTCTCCAGGTGTTCATCATTGTCTCGTTAGTGTCCCTTTAAGTTCAGCGTCTCTGCGTCTTCATGTTGTCTGTGAATTGTGCTTCCCAGCTGTCACGTTCAGCCTCCTCTGTCCCTCCCCACGTCTTTGGTTCAAGTGTTGCCGCCACGTCAGCTGTTGTTTTGTGTCTTTGTTAAATAAACAGTTTATTTTACCTTCAAGTTCCCGCTTCTGTCTGCGTTTGGGTTCAGCACAATGCTGATGGTGACAATACTAAACCACATACTGATCCCTTACAACAGCACGGCTCGTAGTAAAGGAGTCCAGGTGCTGAACTGGACTCCTTTACTACGCTGTATCTTAAAACAAAACAATCCAGTAAAAAAGACGAGGACTGGTTATTAGTTTAAACCCTCCATCAGACAAGAATGGAACATTTCTATTCAAAAACTGCAGCCACTCATCTGCTCAGCTCCACGATGGCTACAGACTGCTGTTAACAGTGGAGGCCATGTTTGAAGAGGTAACCCTCTCCCAACTTTTCTGAGATGTGTTGCTGCATTCAACTTCAAAACGACCTCATATTCCCCCAAAACACAATTTCTTAAATCAAGTATTTATTATGTATGCTATGTGCAAATTCAGTCATGGTACATTTTCCACAACATCTCAGCGTTTTCTGGAATTGAGCTGTACATCTTTATCTGTTCATAGCCAGTTTTTAACACTTCACACTCTGTTGCAACTTGTTTTTTAAATTGTGGTTGTATTAACAGGCAAGAATTCAAGAGTGTGATGCACATGATGAATAAGGTCAGAGAGAAATTTGTCATAAAATGACATTTTGTAAAAAGAAACTCTCTGACAGGTGACAAGCATCAGACACAGAATTGTCTGTTATTTGCAGGCTGTGTGTCATGTATATAACCATCTTGTTGGTTTAATGTCAGTCAAAGCGTCTGCGGTTGTAATTATAGGCCTTTTGAAATGTTGACATTCAACGTGTGCTTCAATCATTCTAATCAGTGCGCTCTTCTAAAGGCCAAGGCACAAGTGAATGGACGATGCATCATCAAGTCAAGCATTGTTAAGTGTTTCCAGTGGAGGAGCTGCAGCCTCTTAAAGTCTGTGACCTTTAACTGGAGCGTTCCTGTCAGAAAAACAGTCCGAATAATGCTGCAGATGCTCAAACGGCAGAAGGAGAAACACAATTCTGCCAAGACAGACGCTCTGTAATGATCTGAGACGCTCACATTAATAATGTGCTGAACAAGCAGGAACTCACTTAATTAACTGATGTGACAACAGATTTCAAACATTTATTTAGAGGTTTTTATGTCAGAAAAAACAGTATTGGGCTCTTGAGGACGTTTTAAAAAAATATACAAGAAGACTGCCCTATTATGATACCACAGGGTGTTTGGGAAAATAATCCAATAATGTCTTCAACATTTTATTTTATAGACCGAGGTTGACAGAGACAAAACAAATGCTGGAGCAGGGATATTCAACTGGTGGCCCAGGGGCCAAATCAGGCCCACGGGTGAGCTCAGTTCGGCTTACAACGGGTGCATTTTTAAATAAAATTAGATTTTAAACCATAAAACAAACTTATTTAATGACAATAACTGCTGGATATCTGGCTCCTGACCTCTTGGCTGTCAGTAACTGTGGCCCCTGAGCAGTTTAGTTAAATAGCTCTGTGCTAGAAGCAGAGTGGGGAAAAATGATAATACAGTAGTCCCTCGCTACTTCGCTGTTCGTTTATCGTGGACACGCTCTAACGCGGTTTTTCAAAATAAGACTGGACATGACACACAATTGGCTGATTGATGGATGAGCCCTATGATAGGCATGGCATTTTATTTAAGATAAATTAGTTTAAATTATTTAGCACCTGCTGCAACTTTCAGCCCAGTGTGGGAA